CGTTTTACATCAACTAAACACAAGGTTTTCACGTCAATGTCTGGCTGCTGAAGTGTCTTCTAAGTCATCACAATTAGATTTAAGGGTGGAAATCGATTAGGCCATCATGAAAACTTTCTATGGGGCCTTATCGTTTTTGCTAGCTGTTATTAAAGGAATAAACCATTTCTTAGTTTATTTCATCTGTGCTCTCCTGGTTACTCAAAGTGCACAAAAAGCAAATGTGAGCAAAAGTTCTAATTAATATTGCAGAGGTTACCGTTACTCCGAGATGCTCTGATCAAACTAACTGTGCTCCCACAGTACTGAACTTGTTCAAACATTTTTAGTTATCAAAAAAAAAAAAAAGTTTCATTTTATTTATTTATTTAACCTTCATTTTACCAGGAGGTCCCTTGAGATAAAATCTCTTTTTCGAGGGAGACCTGGTCAAGGAGCAGCAGTACAATAAGACATATAAAAACACATAAAAACAACATATTAAAATCAATCATAAACTAGACTTTAGAATAACAGTTACAATTCTCTGTGCAAGCGGTTTTCAATAGTGATTTAAAATGCTGTAGCGGAATAGAGTCCGTAATTGCAGGGAGTTTTGAATATTGTGCCACGACCGTGGTGCTGCATAGGAAAATGATGTTTTTCCAAGGTTTGTGTTGATCCTGGGAATAGTGAAAAGAACACGACTTGAAGAGCGTGAGTTGTAACCACTGTTAGCTACAGACATATGTTGTCTTCTGAGGCTTAGGGAGGGCCATGAAACCAGAGCATACAGTTCACAATGATGAGTCCGGAAGGCAGAGTTGGTGATGAAACATAAAGCACTGTGATAAACTATGTCCAGGGAGTGGAGAACTGAGGAGGCAGCGTTCATATATATGATGTCTCCATAGTCCAGAACAGGAAGGAAGGTGGTCTGAACAAGTCTTTTCCTCACTGAGGGAATCAAAGAGGATTTTTGTCTGTAGTAAAAATAATAAACATATTATTTAAATGTGTTGTGAAAGACAATTTGTCGTCTATCCAGATACCCAGGTACTTATAACAGGACACAATCTCAATTGCTTCTCCACTTAAGGTCTTAATGCCGTGATGCTGTGAGTTTTGGGCGTGAGCTTTAGTAACTATCATGAA